TAATTGTACATTCAACAGTTCATGTACATTTTGTTTGGTGACACTGATTATAATCCCCACAATGTACCAGCTCTCCTCCCGCTTCTTATGTGTAATTACCCTTTCCTTCCCTATGTCCTTACCTATGCATTCCTTCCTGCCTAGCTTTTTCTTCCTGTGCAGATACTGCTCTTCTGATCATCCATGGTTGACTCTTTTAAAGGGTTCATCTCACTGGTGTTCAGATCATAGCCTTGTCTATTGTTTGGCTCAGAGTTGAGCCATTCATTAGAGTGAATCTAATTCCAGGCCTGCAAATATTTCTTCCTTCATTTCAATTTCAGTATCAGTTTTTCAGAAAAGAATCACAGCTGAAGTCATAGACATTGAAAAAAAAATATTGACATAGGTTTTCAGTCAAGTCCTAAGCTAACTCAGCTTGCTTTGTGACTGAATCCCCATATTAATTAAAATACTTGTATCCTAAAAATATTCAGAATTGATTTCTTAAAAAGTGATACTAAATAGAATAATTTTCAAATATGAATATGTATAAAGATAAAATCTCAAGTAAAAATGTAAATTTATAAGTATGTGTTAATCAAACCAAACTTGTTGCCCTTGAGTCAATTCCAATTCACAGTGACCCTATAGGACAGGGTGTAACTGTCCCATAGGGTTTCCAAGAAGCTCTGGTGGTGCAGTGAGTAAGATATTCGGATGCTAACCAGAAGGCTGGCAGTTGAAACCCACCAGCTGCTCCGCAGGAGGAAAATGAGGCAATCTACTTCCAAAAAGATTTACAGCCTTGGAAACCCTATGGGGGTCACTGTGAGTTGGAATTGACTTGATGGCAGTGTAAATGGGGTCACTATGAATTGGAATTGATTTGACAGCACCTAACAACAACAACAACAACAAAATTTATTGAAGGACTGCAACATACTTGGCACTCCAGCAGTCTATGATAATGCAGGGATGAGCAAATCTAAATAAAAGGTACCTGTCCTCATGGCTTAATTGTTTTATCGGGGAGACAAACATAAGTCAGATCATCATAGAAGAAGTGTAAAATTAAACTGTGATATATACTGAAAACCAGAGAACAGTTGATGTCTTTGAATTGTGGTGTTGGTGAAGAATACTGAAAATACCATGGACTGGAAGTAAGAATGGCCAGACTTCCTCTCTACTTTGGTCATGTTGTCAGAAGGGACCACTTCCTGGAAAAGGATGTCATGCTTGGTAATGTAGAGGGTCAATGAAAAAGGAGAAGACCCTCAATAAGATGGATTGACAAAATGGCTGCAATGATGGGCTCGAGTATAGTGAGGATGGTGCAGGACCAGGCAGTGTTTATTCTGTTGTACATAGGGTCACTATGAGTCAGAGCTGACTAGATGGCATCTGACAACAACATATGCCATAAAAGAAGGTAACATGGCTATCAGGTAATATGATAATGAGGAAATTAACTTAAATCAATACATTTATAGGGAAGATTCTCTGAATAATGTGTTACTGAGATGAATTATTATTTTTTTTTAAACACAGTTAGCCAGGGCCTAAAGGCATTATTCTGTTGCCAGATATGTGATGAAACATTGATATGCTGTTTGTGGAGTTTCAGTTCTTAGTGTTTTTCAAACATACAGTGAGGCATAGCAATGTAGATTGCTTCTTTTTTGGGGGCTTAACAATGTTCAATTCCTTTTTTTTTTTTACGATTTTATGTGTCACAGATGAACTATGTGCTTAGCCTTTGGAATCTGAGATGGTAAAGTCATGCTTTTAAATTAAGATCCAGTCTCACTGCTGTAGAGTTGAATCTGACTGATAGTGATCCCTCCTTGTGTTTTCAAGATGGTAATCTCTATGGAAGTAGATTGCCTAGTCTTCAAAGGAGTGGCTGGTGGGTTTGAACTGCCAGCCTTCTGGTTAGCAGTCAGATGCCTTAGGCACTACGTCACCAGAGCTCCCTAAGCTCCAGTAGGAGCTACATATGATTGCAAAGGACCTGTTATATTACTGTTCTTTTGTTTGTTCCTACCCCTAATCTGTCACTTTGTTAAACTCTGGTGGCTTGCATATTGATGTGAGGCTAGAGCTATGCCACTGCTATTTCAGATACCAGCAAGGTCACTCATGGTGGATAGGTTTCAGCAGAGCTTCTAGGTGAAGACAGACTGGGAAGAAGGACAGGACCATCCACTTCTGAAAAAACTGGCCACTGAAAGTCTTATGAATAGCAGTAAAACACTGATACATTACTGGAAAACTTTATGAATAGCTGTGTTTATTCATTTATCGAGCAAGTATTTGTTCATATATTGACTTATCTGCAGAGCACTGAATTAGCTTCTGCTGTAAGTGAGCTTGACAACAATGAAATTTGTAGTTGTTGCAGTTATTCACAGTTAATTGAGTGTGCAAGAACCATGGTGGATAGTGGTTAAGTGCTTTGCTGCTAATTGAAAGATCGGCAGTTCAAACCCGCCAGCTGCTCCTCAATATAAAGATGTGGCAGTCTCCTTCTGTAAAGATTACAGCCTTGGAAAGAAACCCCAGAAGGCAATTCTAGTCTGTCTTAAAATGTTGCTGTGACTTGGAGTTGACTGTCTGCAGTGGGCTTGTTTTTTGGGTTTTAATATAATGTACTCACTGAAAATTGAACTGTGCTGGGGTACTGGTTTTATTTATGTAAATAATGGTAGCTGTGAAATTCCTGCATATGGGAACTGTGCAGAGGGACGACTACCTGTATATGCATAATGATAGGAATGACCCAATAGAGATGGACCACTTTATGCTGAAGAGAAAGGAAAGAATTCATTCATGTAACATATTTATTGAGAGCCTGGAATATGTTTGGCACTCTTCTAGGTTCTGGATATAAATCAATGAGCAACCATCAGGGTTACAAAATAAGTAAACTATATATAACATAAAATTTAATCATTTGAATGGAGACACTTTATTGGGATGTAATCACTTGTGTACAATTCAGTGTTTTGTAGTGTATTTATAAGTTGTGTAACCATCACTATAATTTCACAGCAGTTTTACCACTCCATAAAGAAACCTCGTACCCATTCACACTTATTCCACTAATGTATTTTCTATCTTTATGCATTTGTCTAGTATCATGTTTCATGTAAGTGAGATTATACAGTAATTGTCCCTTTGGATTTGCCTTATTTCATTTAATAAAAGTTTTCAAGAGCGTATATTAGTACTTCATTCTTTTTTTATGACAGATAATACTCCAATGTATGGGTACATACCACATTCAGTTGAGGTGTTATTTTTTTGGCTTTTATGGGTATTGCTGTTTGAACGTTTGTATGCAAGAAAGAGGAAAAAGAGGGGTGGGAATGAAATGCTATGGAGAGAATGGTATGGTTGCAGTTTGAAAAAGCATGGCCAGTGAAAGCTTACAGAGAATTTGAATACTGAGCAGACACTGGAAGGAAGTGGAGGAGCTATCCTTTAGGTTGCATTATGCTCAGTTGGTTGAGGAACAGCAAGGAAAGGTGGAAAGGAAGCCACTTTACCAACCCCTTCCCTCCCCCCCCCCCCCAAAAAAAAAAACCAAACCCACTGCCGTCCAGTTGATTCTGACCCATAGCAAACCCCCGTTGGGTTTCTAAGGTGGTAAATCATTATGGAAGTAGATTGCCCTGTTTTCCTTCTGCGGACTGGCTGGTGGGTTTGAACCCCCAGCCTTCTGGTTAGCAGTCGGATGCATTAGGTATTTTGCCGCCAGAGCTTCTCGGGGAACAATCAGAGTTGAGGTCAGAGAAGTACTACAATTTGGATCATGTAGGCCCCTTTTAGTCCTTTCAAGGATTATAATATTACTTTCCAAGTTGGTTACTGAGAGGAATAAATAAACAGACTACTTCAAATAAACATTTGGAACAGGTCCTGACTATTCCTAGAGACTTAAACATTCACAGGGATATCTATCCTTCTCTCCGTCCCTTCCTCCCTCCCCACTTTACATAGGAGGGAAATAATGGCACAGAAAAAGGTTAAATAATTTACCCAAGTCATGTATGAATGGGATTAGGATTTGAACCTAAGTAACTTGGTTGTAGAGCACATTCTAACCACTTTTTTAGTCTCTGCCCAAGGAATGATGGTTGAAGTAATGGTAGTAAGAAACATAAACTCATCATGAAGTGGTAGAGGAGTGATTAGGGGTTCAGTATATAATATCAAGTAGGACTTGTAAGTGTTAAAGTTTGGAGACCTGAGCTTTAAGAAAAAGTCTTTGAAGAAGGAGGGAGGAGAAGTTATATTGATGTCGAATTAGGTGGCAAAAGAGAGCATTGATATTAGTCTTACCTTTGTTGTTGTTACGTGCCATTGAGTCGGACCCAACTTATAGCGACTCCTCCTTGGGTTTCTGAGGCAGTATCACTATGGATGTAGATTGTCCAATCTTCCTTCTGAGGAGTGGCTGGTGGGATTGAACTTCCAGCCTTCTGGTTAGCAGTCAAGTGCCTTAGGCACTATGCTACAAGATTCATACTTGAAATATGTGAGTTGGGAGGGGAAAAAAAAATAGTAACACCTGACAAAGCCTACATTCCATAGAGATACAGGAGAAAACAATGCCATTAGGAAATAGCTAGCCATGTTTCAGTTAAGGAAACATGGGGAAAGTTACTCCTTAGCATGGGTGGAATCATTGCCTTTGAGTTTGGAAATGTAAAGAGAAAGGCTTGGGAGGATTGAGGATGGTAATATGGGGACAGTCATTCCAGTGATGGCATCTTGAGCTTCTGATAGTGCATAAGGTGAACGAGGATAATAATATATGATAGAGTCAATTCTAATATTCTCTAGCAGTAGTTAGAAAACCACTAAAGCTGCTAAATAGGGACCCACTGGGCAAACATCATACCAAAGTGGCTTGGCATTTCTTCGGTGAAAGCAACCATACAAACTTTAAAGACATTTATTTTGAATGTTTGGAAATTGTAACAACTTTCTTTTTCTTTTTTGTAAAACAGGATGGCTTGAATTCCTTGGTCCTTGATTTGGATTTTCCTGCTTTGAGGAAAAACAAGAATATAGATAATTTCTTAAATAGATGTAAGTTGTATTTAAACTTTATTATCTGATCACATAGCTGTACTATTGATGAGATTACTGTTTGAGTAATATGATACAGTCCACAAACTATTAAAATTTTTTTTAGTTCATCACTTAATTTATTTAAAAACCCATACTTTTTTCAAAGAAAACTATAAAACTAAATAGTAGTATGATGCACAGTGATGTATACACAGTTTTATGTAAACTATTAAGACTTTCACTATTTCAGGACAGGTTCTTCATAGCATTTGCAAACATTTTAAATGAATGGCGCCTGGAATAAAATTCATCCCCAGGGGCAGTCTCTCAGCCCAGTAGTTAACAAGATGTACATGCAGACCACTTAACCCAGGATGCTGCACCCACACTCTCAATGGTAATTCATCTCTCAGAGCAAGAGACCATGGGACACCAAAGGACCAACATTCAGACTGAGAAAATGCATGACAAACAAGAGTGCATAATTATGAGGGGCATAGGAGGAGGGTTGCAGGGTAGGGAGGGGAGGAGACTGGGTTAGGTTGGACATGGCGAATGGGGAATGAAACTAAATGTATGCGTGACGTTGAATGTAAAACAAGCTTTTAAAAAATAAAAAATAAAAAAAAAACAAAGCATTCCTCTCTTTTCCAACTTAAAAAAAAAGTTTAAAATGAATATTGATAATTTTAAGACTTTGCTTTATATTACCTAGAAGGCCTAATGAGCTTATATTTGTGTAAATGTAGACAGTTTAGTGCAGTTAATGAAAAATAGTATGATGACAATTATTTCATAAAAGTGGTTAACTCTTAATAAATACTTGGCAGTATAGATGACACAATGAAAGTGTAAATGAAGTTGAATTCTAAGAGTAAGAAATTCCTAAAGCCAGTATGATAATCATTTATATTTTCATAATAAACTCTTAAATTTGGAATTGTCAGAGATTAGGATATTATCCTAAATCAAACAATTTTCTTTATAGTTACAATATATAGAGTTAACATATTTCACTTAAGTAGTGTATTAAAATTCACTACTAAAATTAACCTGGGAAGTAATTTAAAATTTCTGTCATGATTCGGAATGCACACCTGGATTGCTTGGGTCATCACTCTGTAGCTTATCTGACTTGCTACCTTTTAATAATCGGTATTATTTGTTTATGTGTATTAATAAACCATAGGGTTTTTGATTCATTGGTATTAGATTAGTTAATATCTTAAGATATTTAAACAGCATTGTAAACTTACAGGTTTAAACTAATGGTTTAACTGAAAAACTAAGTTTTGCTTCTTAAAATAAAAATTTGTTTATAGATATGGTGATTTTTAAAAGTATTGTTTAAATATTGATATTACAAATATGGTGATTTTTTAAATTATAGATGAGAAAATTGTGAAGAAAATCAGAGGTCTACAGATGAAGGCAGAAGACTATGATGTTGTAAAAGTCATTGGAAGAGGTGCTTTTGGTGAAGTCCAATTGGTAATACAGTTTTTTTTCCTTTCTTTCTATTACTTTTTTATGGACATCATGGTTTTGTGAAACATCAATAACAGCTTTGTGAATCTAATTTCTGTGCCCATGCCAGAAATTGGCTTTATGAACTTAGTCTGCCATTCTGTCTCTGAGAGCCTCCGTATTCCCATCTATGCCACAAGGGAATTGTGCTATAAACACCAGGTCTCTTTCAGTCTGCATCAATATGATTTAGAATAAGGGCCAACTTGGTTTCACATATAAATTTTCAGTCAGAACTACTGTCTTTTAATGTAGTGTTTTCAGTTTAATTACATACTTACTTCACTAACTGAGATTGATTTAGATACGTGAGACATCCAACTAAGACTTTTTAATTACTAAAAATAAATCTTAAATTTATCTTTGTAGGCCAAAGTGCTACCAATGTGAAATGTTATAATTTCCATTTTTCTCACTTCAGTGTATAAAACTCTTCTACCTTTTATCCTTATGGTTAAATTACAGAGAGTCATGTTCTGTTGGGGAGCTCTGGTAGTGTAGTGCCTAAAGCACTTAACTGCTAACCAGAAGGCTGGCAGTTCAAACCCACCAGCTACTCCTCAGAAGGAAGATGGGGCAATCTACTTCTGTAGTGATACTGCCTCAGGAACCCAAGTAGGGGTCACTATGAGTCGGGTCCGACTCGACGGCACATAACAACAACAACAACAACAACACATTCTGTTGCTTTGCTCAACAATGGTACTCCTTTTGATGGAGCAATGAGAAAAGCAATGCTTTTAGTATAAGGTAGTATGGATTTCCCTAAGAACAAGTAATGAGAGGCTAACCGTTTTCTTCTCTTCATTTCTTTGTTTATTGGACTTGAACTAGATGTAATACATGTGTGCATTAGGGTGCTACAATCAGTGTAATATATATATTTGACAAAATCTGACGTATATGAGGACAATATGGAGACATAGCAACTGTATAATTGTATGGTTAGACACTTTATAACTGATTTAATGCTGTACAAGCAGTCTCTGGATTAAGGACAATTCTGATTAGCTATTAAGCCAGGCTTTGAACTGATTTGAACCACTTCTGTCATGGACAAGGGAGCAAAAGAGAAACCGATCTGAATTTTTACCATTTGGGTGATTTGTCACAGTATCTGGAATGGAAATATTAGAGGTCAAAGCCCTGGAATGGGAGACTTGGAAGAGCTGTTGTTGTTAGGTGCCGTAGAGTTGGCTCTGACTCACAGTGACCCTACGTACAACAGAACAAAACACTGCCCAGTCCTTTGTCAGCCTCACAATCCTTGCAACACCCGAGCCCATTGTTGTAGCCACTGTGTCAGTCCATCTCATTGAGGCCTTCCCCTTCTTCACTGGCACTCCACCTTACCAAGCATGATATCCTTCTCCAGAGAATGGTCACTTCTGACAACATGACCAAAGTAGGTGCAACAAAGTCTGTCCATTCTCGCTTCCAAGGAGCACTTCTGTCAGGACAGATTTGTTGGTTCTTTTGGCAGTCCATGGTACTTTCAGTATTTTTCACCAACACCATCACTCAAAAGCATCAACTCTTCTTTAGTCTTCCTTGTTCATTGTCCAGCTCTTATACACATATGAGACGATTGAAAATACTGTGTCTTGGATTAGATGCACATTAACTTTCAAGGAGACATCTTTGCTCTTCAGCACTTGAAAGAGGTCCTTTGCAGCAGATTTTCCCAGTACGACACGTCTTCTGATGTCTTGACTGCTGCTTCCGTTGGTGTTGATTGTGGAACCAGGTAATATGAAATCTTTGACAACTTCAGTCTTTTCTCCATTTATTGTGATGATGCTTATTGGTCCAGTTGTGAGGATTTTCCTTTTTATGTTGAAGTGTAATCCATACTGTAGACTGTAGTCTTTAATCTTTATCAATAAGTGCTTTAGAGTCATCCTCACTTTCAGCAAGCAAAGTTGTGTTGTCTGTGTATCGCAGGTTGTTAATAAGTCTTCCTCCAATCCTGATGCTGTGTTCTTCCTCTTATAGTCCAGATTCTTGCATTATTTGTTCAGCCTGCAGATTAGTAAGTATGGTGAAAGGAAAGAACCCTAGCATACTTCATTTCTGATAAAGCATGCAGTATCCCCTTGTTCTGTTCAAACGACAGCCTCCTGGTCTATGTACAGGTTCCTCATTAGTACAATTAAATGTTCTGGAATTCCTGTTTGTCTCATTGTTATCCTTTATTTGTTATGATCCACATGATCAAATGCATTCGCATAGTCAGTAAAATACAAGCAAACATCATTCTGGTATTCTTTGCTTTGAGCCAAGATCCATCTGACATCAGCAATGATAATCTTTATTCTATGTCCTCTTCTGATTCCAGCTTGCATTTCTGGAAGTTCTCTGTCAATATACTGCTGCAACCATTTTTGAATTATTTCTTCAGTAAGATTTTACTTGCATGTGATACTGTTTGATAATTACAACATTCTGTGGGATCACCTTTCTTTGGAATGGATACAGATATGGATCTTTTCCAGTCAGTTAGCCAAGTAGCTGTCTTCCAAATTTCTTAGCATAGTCAAGGGAGTGCCTCCAGTGCAGCATCTGTTTGTTGAAACATCTTAGTGGGTATTCCATCAATTTCTGCAGCATTGTTTCTTGCCAGTTCCTTCAGTACAGCTTTGACTTCTTGCTTCAGTGCCATTGATCCTTGGTCATATTACCACTGCTTGAAAGGGATGAACATCAACCAGTTCTTTTTGGTACAGTGACTCTGTATATTCCTTCCATCTTCTTTTGATACCTCCTGCATTATTCAATATTTTGCCCATAGAATCTTTCAGTATTGTAACTTGAGGCTTGATTTTTTTCTTTAATTCTTTCAGCTTGAGAAATGATGGGTGTGTTCTTCCCTTTTGGTTTTCTAACTCCAGGTCTTTGCACATTTCATTACAGTAATTGACTTTGTCTTCTTGAACTGCTCTTTGACATCTTCTGCTCAGCTCTTTTATCTTGTTATTTCTTCTGTTTGCTTTAGCTACTCTCCATTCAAGGGCAAGTTTGAGAGTTTCTTCTGACATACATTTTGGTCTTTTCTTCCTTTGCTGTCTTTTTAGTAACCTTTTGCTTTCTTCATGGATGATGTTCTTGATGTTATCCTACAGTTCCTCTGGTTTTTGGTCATTGGAGTTCAGTGTATCAAATCTGTTCTTTAGATGGTCTCTGAATTCAGGAGGGATATGGTCAAGGTCATATTTTGGCTCTCATAGACTTGTTTTAATTGTCTTCAACTTCAAGTTAAACTTGCATGTGAGCAGTTGATGGTCTGTTACACAATCAGCTGCTGGCCCTGTTTTGCCTGAAGACATTGAGCTTCTCCACTGCCTCTTGCCACAGATGTACTCAGTCTTATCCCTGTGTACTCTGTCTGGTAAAGTCCATGTCTATAGCTACTGTGTTGTTGAAAAAAGGTATTTGTGATGAATAAGTAAGTTGTTGGTCTTGGAAAATTCTATCATGTGATTTCCAGCATCATTTCTATCACGTTGGCCATATTTTCTAACTTGCAGTGATTCTTCTTTGTTTCCAACTTTTGCATTCCAGTCATCAGTGATAATCAACACATCTTGATTGCATGTTTGGTCAATTTTAAGCTGCACAAGTTGGTAAAAATCTTCAATTTTCTCATCTTTGGCATTGGTGGTTGGTGCATACATTTGAATAATAGTAGTGTTAACTAGTCTTCCTTGTAGGCGTAAGGATATCATCTTATCACTGACAACATTGTACTTCAGAATATATCTTGAAACATTCTTTGTAATGATGAATGCCACGCCATTCCTCTTCAGTTTTGTCATTCGTGCCATAGTAGATCATATGGTTGTCTGATTCAAAATGACCTAAACCAGTCCATTTCAGCTCACTAATGCCTAGGATATCAATTTTTATGTGTTCTATTTCATTTTTGACAACTTGCAGTTTTCCTTGGTTCATGTTGTTGTTTGCCGTCGAGTCGGCCCCGACTCATAGCGACCCCTCCTTGGATTTCCGAGGCAGTATCACTACGGAAGTAGGATTGCCCAACCTTCCTTCCGAGGAGTGGCTGGTGGGTTTGAACCGCCAGCCTTCTGGTGAGCAGTCAAGTGCCTTAGGCACTATGCTACCAGAACTCCTCAACAATCTCATTTTTGACAACTTGCAGTTTTCCTAGGTTCATACTTCATACATTCCATGAATGGCTGTTTGCAGGTATTTCTTCTCTTTCCATTTTGAGTTGTGCCACATCAGCAAATGGAAGTTCTGAAACCTTTACTCTATCCACATCATTAAGATTGGCTCTGTTCTGAGGAGGCAGCTCTTCCCCAGTCGTATTTTGAGTGCCTTCTGACCTGAGGGGCTCATCTTCTGGCCCTATGTTGGACATTGTTTCAGGGATACTCATAAAGTTTTCTAGTAATATATCAGACATGGTTTTACTGATATTCATAAGGTTTTCACTGGCCATTTCTTTGAGAAGTGAATGGCCCCTTCCTTCTAAGGCTGTCTTAGTCTGGAAGCTCCGCTGAAACCTGTCCACCATGGGTGACCCTGATGATGTTTGAAATAATGGTGGCATAGCCTCCAGGTTCACAGCAACACATAAGCCACCATAGTATAACAAACTGATAGATGAGTGGTGGGGAAGTGGTATAGTGATCCTTTTCAAACCACCAGCCATTCTTTGGAAGGAAGATGGGGCAGTCTACTTCCGTAGTGATACTGCCTCGGAAACCCAAGGAGGGGTCGCTATGACTTGGACATATAACAACATGAATGCATGCGATTGGATTATTGGCAAGACTGTAGAGAACCATACTTACTCAGAGTGATGCAGTTGGCACCATTTTTTAATTTTATTTTTATTGTTTTTTGTGAACGTTTACAGAGCAGATTCATTTTCAGAGAACAGTTTATGCACTTTTGTTTCATGACATTGATTGCAGTCGCCATAACGTAACAGCTGTCTT